TAATCTATGGATCACCACGTGGTCGTGTCCTACCAGCAAAGTTTCAGTGTGTTTGTCTCCAGCAGCAGCTCCATGGCTTTTCTTTCACTGTCTCCTTTCTCCCAGCACTTTTTTTTGTTTTAATATTTATTTATTTATTATGTATACAATATTCTGTCTGTGTGTTCACCTGCAGGCCAGAAGAGGTGGACATTAAGAATCAATGACTAGAACTCTATAAGATACAACTAATACATCCTACAGGATGGGTACCTCACATATTGGGGTTTTTGTTTGCTAGTCTTTGGTTTCTGGGTAGATCATATTCCTGTGTAAACAACTCTAAAAACCCTTTTTTTCTATTTTGTTAAAAACGAACTCTTAGCAAATGTGTTTTCTTGCACAAGACCTGTAAGATACCTACCCGGTTAATACTATAACATGGAAAGCGGCATGTCTCATGAGCTCCCACTTCTAGTCTATCTTTCTTTTCTTCCTTCCTTCCTTTCTTTCTTCCTTTCTATCTATAAAATATTTTAAACTATTATGTTTCATATGGCTTTTTCAAACATCGTTAACATTAATTGTGCCTTCTTTTACCCTTCCTTTGCCCTATCCTCCCAGCGCTCTCCCCACTTTCGCTTTCCTCCCTATAATATTTTGAATACAGTTTAAATTATTTTAAATAATATTTTAGAGTTGTCAATACTATCACCACATAAACACGTATTTGTATGCTAATTCTATCTATATTTAAAACTACTAGATTAAAAGACATTTACTCACAAATGAGTTAATTTTTGTGGAAAAATTACAACTGTATGCATTTATGCAAGGCTGTGTGATGTTTTAATGCATTTATACAATATGGCTTAATTACATCAAGGTGTATACGGCAAATTCATCATTTTGCTTTCATTTTATTTGTGGAAGTAGGCTTGTTACTTGGTCTGATATTTATATTTTAGTTTGTGAACAATGTCCACAGCTCTCTAAATGGCTATGCTAATCTCCAGCCTCTAGCGTGTGATAGTTCCCTTTTGCTGCATCCACAGACAGAGGGATTAGAGCTCCAGCCTGTTGGAGTCCTTTGAATTGACTATTTCCTTCCAGTTTTCTATCAAAAATATGTATCTCAAACTAATGTGTATACATTTTGAAAATTAGCAATGAATCTGTTGTAATAAAACATTTTTAAAAATGTTAAAAAAAAACAAATTTGAACTTTGTTAAGTGATAGATCTAAACAATTTAATGAATAAAAGCAAACAGAAAGTAATCAAGATAATCCAATCAAAATCTTGCAGACTTACACAAATTTAACATTGAAAACCAAACAAGTTTGGCATATTATCATGAAAAAAATGGCTTTATATTAGAAGGCAGTTTTAATTAAATTTCTGCAATACCAAATATAAACAAGGTGGAATTAATCCTTCTCTCTGGGAGTTATAAATAAAGAAAATGGTATTTGGGTTCATGAACTCTCACAAGACAAGATGAAATTTGATAAGCAGTGGATATCCTTATTCCAGTGATTCTCAACCTTCCTAATGCTCTACCCTTTAGTATGCTCCCTCATGTTGTGGTGACTCCCAACTATAAAATTATTTTTGTTGCTACCTCATAACTATAATTTTGCTACTGTTATGACTTGTAATGCAAGTATTTTGGAGCTAGAGGTTTGCCAATGGGTTTGCAAATCACAGGTTGAGAATCGCAGTCTTAACAGGAAAAGTAATCTAGCAATCTGGTTGCCCCCTTTTCTTTGTTGACCCGTTACAATTGAATTCATTTGAAGACCCTTCTCTGGAATGCTCCTCCCATTCTCAGATGTCATGGGTTTCAGAAGGCCTGGACTACTTCCTACTTAGGGACTATGTATGATCTATAAAGATTATTTCTTAATTTCCCATATATTGTAAGGCAAGGATATTTGTATAAAACTTTTATTCACAACAATAACTTGTTGGTTCTTTTTCATTTCTATGAATAAATTCATGAATGAAATACAGTAATGAAACAGACAAGAATAGAAGACTTTCATATAATGAGATTCGAAGTTAGGAATAAAATAAATCAAGCACGCCAGGTACACATCTGGGAAAGAAAAAAGGAGACATTACAGAACACCAGGTGATGGTAGACTGGATGCCCCTGGATAAATCATGATAAAGAGGAGACACTAGTGATTTGTTTGAACTGATGTGAAGCAGTATAATGGGAAGAGAGAGGAAAATGCCACCTCAGTCATACAAATTTAACAAGCAAATTCACAGTCTCCTCTGATTCATAAGTGTGGAGACCCTAGAATGTCTTTTAACTCAGGAATAATGCCTCTGTCACGTATCTATAAATAGACTAAGCTATTGTCTTAGTTTTAAATTTACTTAAAACATGATTTTTTTGTAAATCAATAAATAGAATAAGATAAAATCAAAAGGGACAATCACAATAATAATTTTAAATACTCTCTATATGATGGTATTTTCTTGTTTATAAAAACTGGAAAATTATGTAATGCTTAAAGTTAATTTTAGATATAGAGTTAGAGAAAGAGGATTTTATTTTCCTCTTCTTACACTTATTTTTTACTTAAAATTAGATTATAATTTTTAAGTCTAATCTAAATTAAAAAGAAATGACAAATATCTAAATGGCTAAAAAAGGAAGCACAGAAAAAATACCTACTAAGCTAAACAACCGCCAAAATTTATAGGACAGTTGTTTCTTCTAAAAAAATACAATCAGTACATACAATAAGACTATGTTATAAATTAAGTTATAAAGAAAACAACTGAGGACAAATGGCATCTGGCATTTTAAATATGGTCATATGTGTTGTAAAGTTTAAAATATTTTCAAGACCTTACTTTCCCCCAAGGATTTCATTTAAATAATGAATTTTCCCAAAGATTTCATGGAGTTCTGTATGTAGAGAGGTCTTCTCAACTGTACCAGCAACGCAAAGCCATGGTCCAGCAATAACTGTGAATCTTCACAATTTGTATTTTAATTCTGAATAGCTCCATTTTATTTCCTATATAATTTGCCATTATCGAATGAATCACTCCTTTGTTGAAGCCTTTCCTCAGAATTTCCCAGGAAAAGAATTGGGCAGAAATTAGTTTCCTATTTAAGAAACTTCTTAGAATTTATATGAAACCTTTGTCTGAAAGCAAACCACAAAATTAGCATTTCACTTAGCAGTGAGTTTAAATAGCTGTGAAGCCCAGTCTCAGCCATCATCTTGATCATCTCCAGCTTTCTTCTTTCCTCTCTTGGGCACAAGGTATTGTGTTACTACACAGAAAACTGCTATGATTCTATAAAGCTAACCTCTTCCACTAGATTAAAACATATTTGCAATGTTTTCTGGATTTATAAAATATTGATACTTTGTTACAATATGCCAAGAGCTTAAAATTGCACTTATAAATTTTGATAGCTTCTTAGTGATGAAGGAGAAAGAGTACTATAGCTGTATAAATCAATTTACCTTTGTTAATTTGTGTAACTAAACATATTGCTTATTAAAATGATACATAATTTTCGTATTCTCTAAAGATAAGAAAATTCTAATTATTTTATCTAATTCAATGGAAGTTTTCATGCAAAGTATTTTCTGATCTCTATAAATATGATAGCAAAGACCATTTTATCAGGGTCTCTCAGGACAACTTTTATCTGTGCCATTTGGCTAATAAGCATGTGGCTATGCTAATGATATGGATTTATAAGCAACTTCTTTTGTGCAGATTTTTGCACTTAGAACCATGGAAAACCATAAAAACATTCATGATAAATTAGATAGTATTTAAAAATGTTTATTCTTTCCTAGATCTGTTTTAGATTCTTGTTATATCAGTGTTAGTTTGTTGACAAAGACATAAAAGGATTACATGTACAATGTGATTTTGGTTTTTCTTGGTTTTTTTTTTGTTTGTTTGTTTGTTTAGTTTTTTTTCTTTTGCAAAACAGGGTTTCTCTGTACTGCCCTGGCTCTTCTGGTACTCATTCTGCAGACCAGGCTGGCCTCAAATTCAGAGATCCACTTGTCTCTGCCTTCCAATTACTGGGATTAAAGCCATGCACAACCACTGCCTGGCTATTATTTTCACATTAAGTTTTTTTTTGCTTGATTTTTTTTTCAATTTAAGTGAATATGACTATCTCCTATTTTGTGCAATTTCCTGGAATTCTAGAACTGAAACACATAAATATATAGGAAACTAATGACATTCAACTGAGTCATTGTCATACAGGGATGTGGCTAGCTTGAGGAGGAAAGTCATGATATGAGAACCAATAATTTTTAATTTAATTACAGGAGGTCAGTAATATTAGTCAAGAGAATATCCACAAAATTTGAAAACATAAAATGCTTTCAAATTAATTTATAGGAAAGATAATTTTTTCAAAGAATTTCAAATGAAAATTCCCATTGGATTTTATTTATTTTGTACACCTTGCAAAGGTGATGATTTAAGAAGAATTGTTCTTTGTAATTATTTTTAAGGGCTGATGTTTTTTCTCTCTTAAAGAATATCATATAAATGTTAAATTATTTTTAGACATTAAAATAAAATTGATGGGAAAATATTATAATATAAGAACTAAGAAAGAACAGTCAAGATGGTTCAACATATCTAAACACTTGCCATGGAGCCTGGCATTTGAGTTCCTCCCCAAAGCTCCAATGGTAGAAGAAAACAACGGACTTTGAATTTTGAACTCACAAACTGTTCTCTAATCTATATACATGCATGCAGTGACAATATGGCTTCAGAGAGAAAGGATTGGGGGGAGAAAATAAATGAATTTAAAGTTAGAACTAAGATAACAGAAATGGTAAAAACACTTATTATTTACATAACCAAACATCTTGTGTTTAAAACTACTACTTCTCAAAAGAATTTATCTTTAGCATCATAATTACTCCTTTGTTGAATGGTCAAGGAAAGATGTATGAAGATAAGATCTAACATCTTATTCATTTTCATAAATAGGACTCAGCAACCATGAAACTCCTCATCCTCACCTGCCTCATGGCTGCTGCTCTTGCTATGCCTGTAAGTACAATGGAAAAAAGTTCTATCCTCTTGTTAGAAATGATCCACCAGCTGCTCATACCTGAGTGGCTGCAGTAATAATGCTAAGCCTTTGATGATCGCTACCTAACAACTGCAGTCAAAATTAGAAATCCTTCCAAAACCCTTCCAAATCCAGAACTCCAAGTCACTTGTCCTTTTAGAAATTAAATAAACCCACAATGAAAATCACAAATAAAAGTGAGAAAAAAATAAAATATTGCATAACACTATAAAAACATAATAGGATGTAGCAGGGCTTATTTCCCCAGTACACCATAGAATAAGTGTCCTTCTCAGTATGCCACAGGCATATGATAATTCTTTATCATGTATAACTAACAGTCTTATATTCCATAGTATTCTACATAGTTAGATACTCATTTTGGGTGCCTTGTATCCGCTTGACTTCCCAAGAAATAGAAAATTCATATACCAAAGAAAACAGTGTGGTGTCTACTTGTATATGGTAACAGTTTAATTAAATTTTATTATTATATTATCAATCAAAATGCAGATTTAAATAATTCTGTAATATAATTGATGATAAAATGCAATCATGACAAAACTTAGCATGTAGTTAGGTTACTATACACTTCCCGCCCAATTGGTATGCTTCAAAATTATTTTTAAAATTCTCATGAAATATAAACTGTCCAGAGAAATAAATGATCATTTTGAAACAGTTAAAACTAACTGAAGAGTTTTACTTCTCAGGCATTTCACATGGTTTTCTTAATTTTCTGTCATAATCTAAAGAAAACAGAAACTGGTTTTTTTATATCTGCCAATAAAATAATTATTTCTTTTTATTCCCAGATCAACAGTTTCTGACAATTTTTAATATTATTGTTAAAGATTTTTCTTAAATAGCAATTTCAAGTAAAGGACAGTATATGTGCATCATTATTGTTATCTTGATTAATTTTAGCCTTATTTGTGTTATTAATTTTCTGTTACATTTCAGAAACTTCATCACAGAAATGCAGTAAACATTCAAGTAAGTACTGTACTCTTCCTTTCTAGAACTTTCTCTAATCAGGGACTTACTTGATGATGCACTGCCAGCAAAAAGACCCAAATTCTGTCTTTCTTTCTCTAAGAAATAGCCCCCTTTACCTTTACTGGGGAGTATCTTATCCAAAAAAAATGTTAGCAGATGCAAGATTACTTATTCATACAAAACTTTCTATAAAAGTGCACATGGGGCCAATGAAATGTCTCAGTGGGTAAATGGCAGTGTGTGCGAGTCTGATGTCTTAGTAAGTCCCTGGAACTCAAACTGGAAGGGAAAAGCCAACTTTCAACCTTTACAGTTGTTCTTTGGCCTCAATATATGTACCTTGGCATAAACATGACCTCTCTCTCTCTCTCTCTCTCTCTCTCTCTCTCTCTCTCTCTCTCTCACACACACACACACACACACACACACACACACACACACACTATCATTTAGTTCACAGGAAATAGCAAAACAGAATGTTAATATTTTAATGTATTTTGGCTTTTACTTTTCCATTTAATTCTTGTGGCTTTTAATTTGTTCTAATTTTATGTAATGAATCATGAATTAATTAACTATACCACACTCACTACAATAGGCATTAATCCTCCACTCTTTCCAGTGTATGAACTAATGTCATGTTATCACTTATTCTCTGCAGAATCAATACCAGGACAGCTCTGAGGTAAGTTACCTGTATAGGGAGTTGAGTCCATGCTCTGCTGGTCTCTTCAGTTGGTTATGACGAATGTGGAATGCCTTCTACACGCTGATTTTTATATATCTTCAAAAGTATCTAAGTGTTCAGATACCTGGACTGCCCTCTCAATCTTGTTTTGATTCAGTGCATATGTAAAGTCTTTGCCTGAAAATTTGGAAAACATGCTTAACAGATCATGCTTGGAAAAAAAGAAGCCAGTTAAGGTGTCTCTTTTAGATTTTTGATTTAGTCCATAAAACTAAAACTATAGATTTATGTTCCACCTAAGAATCTACCTATTTACTGAATTAAATTAAACACTTGGGCTCCTGCGGCAAAGAGTTCATTTTTGTGCATTTACAGTCATTCTCCATATATAAATGAAATAATATGTTTCAAGACGTATTCAGGGATCAGCTTATCATTTTATAATCCAAATTTAATTTCAACAGGAACAACAGGAGTCTGTCAAACTGCCTATGTATCTCAAGTTCACTGAGGTAAGTGTTACCAATTCTTAACACGCAAATGCACTCTTAGAGGAAAACTCATTCTTTTTAGGCCAACATACAAGTAGAGGATGCAAATATGGCATTTCCATGCATGCATCACCATACTTCAGTATCAACAAACAGATAAACAAAGTACAGTACGCTTGCAAAAGTGTCTTAACTTGAGTTGATAGTCCTTTTCATTCACTAAAAAGTAGATTTTAATTTTAATTTCTATCTAAAATTTTGCTTCTGACTAAACGCCTGTCTTTTCTTTCAATGATCTATTTAGCAGCACAAGATTTTATGCTCACAATGTAGAGTATTCTGTGCTACAGTTCTCTACAAAGTTATTTGTTGAATAAAGAATATCAAATTTTGAAGGAAGACAGTTATTTATTTAAAAGATTTGATGGCTAACCCAATTTTGTCTGAATGAATTTTAACATAAATATTTTAATTTTTTTTAAAAAAATATTTTAATTCTTGCCCTTATTTTGATATTTTAATAGACCATTTTCCCCTTCTCTTTTCTCTCTTTAAAACTTCCCAAAATAGCTATTCTTGCCTTTCTTTCTTGCTTGCTTTTTTTCTTTCTTTCTTTCTTCATTAATTCGTACACACACACACACACACGCACACACATATATATATTACCAAATACATAAATACACCATATTCAATTTGCATATATTATACGTATGTATTCAAGGCTGACCATTTGGTATTGGATAACCAATTGTTATCCACTTCCATAGGGAAGATTATTCCTCATGCTGTCAGCATTCCGTAACTATTTGTAGTTCTTTGTGGTGAAGACCCTGGACTTTTCACTGCCCACTTTTGCAAGTCTATCATCAGAAGCTGAACCAAAAGGTTTTATTAACCTGACATCCTCAACATGAGCTGAACAAAGACAACATAACTTTGTTTTAAGACTAATTAGCACACTTAAGACAGAATGACTCCATGGGGTATAGAGTTTAAAAAAAGCTACTCAAATGTTAAAATTAATAGATCACAGAACTGATAATTAACTGAAATGATTGGCAAATACAACAAAAATCAGGTACAATAAATTTGAAAGTATTTTAAAAACACATTTACTGACAGAGTATACAAAGAAAACACAGCAAAGAAACACTTAAGTTTAGAACTGATGTAACAAGAACAATGGGACATTAATGGAAAATAGATTTAATTTTAAATTCACAACAGGAAGGGATGATGTCAATTTGATTACTGACTCATATTAGTTATGTCCTTTATAACTAATACTGTTTTTATTTCTTTTATAACCATAAGAAATTCTTCAATGACCTGAACAAAGTAAGAAACATTTTAAGAAATTTAAACTCTTTTTAAATTCTGTGGTTTATATATGTGTTACACAAGTTATGTTTTGCTTTTTCAGCAGAGAGCTATTCTGACAGAACAGAGTGATGAAATCAAGGTACTAATGCTTTCCATAAAATAATATGACAGATACACACCTCCACACAGCACAAAAATACTTTTATTTGGACTGCTTATGCCATTATTCTTTACTGGATCTCTCAATTACACATTCGAAATGCCTAATGGATTCTAGTGGTACTTAAAAGGCCTTCTAATTGAATGGACTTCGATGAACAATTCTGATGAAGTATGATATACATATACCTCAATGATTAAACAAATAAATGCAATTACAGTCCGGTCCATGGTTTGCATAGACTATGAAGGCTGAAGAAATGCATTGTCAGGGATGGTTAACAAGCACTGCAAGTGGCCCCCAAACACCTTACTTCACAACAGTACTCTTTCACTAATCACATTTGAACTTAATTGATTAATACATTTTTAAAAAAAATCAATATTAAAAGAGTATTATGTAGTTCTCAAAATTCATAGAAGCAATAAAGTGCATCTTTTACAGACTATTTAATGACTGAAATCTTTTCTTACAGCAAACTATGAACGAACCAACTGAGGTAATGCCCTTTGTTTTAAAAATACTTCACTGGGTATGGGGAGGGGGCAACATTTAATAAGCATTCTTTGTAGTTATCGTACATAAATTAGAGAATAATTCTGAGCATTCAATGACGAATATCTTTAATTGCTAGAAAAAAAAGACATGGTTATGTGTTTGCTGAAATTAAGTAGATGACACGCTAACACTGATATTTTGAACTTCAGCCCTAGGGTGTTATCTTTCTACTACTGTGATGCTAAATATGGGTGCAGGATATTAAGCACAAAAGAATTATTTATTAAATATCTATGCACACTTGAGCCATTCTACTCTGGCATAGTTTTATCTATTGCATGCTTCTTAGACAGTGTTTCTGCTCAATGTCCAGAAACTAAGTTAAAAGAAAACAAAAAGTTGCACTATCACTCCCGATGTGCAAGAACTCGCTCAAGGATTTTAATTAATCTTGGAAATTCAAATTAGGAAAGTGAATACTTGAGTTTGACAATTTTTGTTTGTTTTCCTCAATTCTTAGATATTCTCCAGATTTCTATTTTTTTCTAGCGTCTATTTGAGTTGGTACTGATTAATTTTATATCTCAGTGTTTGTCATGAAAAATAAGAAAAATTTTTCTGCTCATTTCTTTTCCCTAGGAACAAGCAATGGCAAGCGCTCAGGTGAGCGTCTGTTTGGTAAAAACTAAGCAACTGTGCACCATGTGCGTGTGTGCCCTCTGCTTCATTTTCAGAGACCTAACTTATGCTGAGCTCTCTGGGAAAATGAATCTCAAAGTATTTTCTTTCTTGAAGTTCTCAGAATTGTGTACAATTTTGTGAATAAAGTAGGCAAATGTGTTCCAGTTAGAACTGGGAGTAGAAATTTAAGTCATTTAGATGATAGTAAAATAAAAGGTTTGTTTGTTGATTAGAATAAAAACTAAAAAGAAAAATGTGCATCAAAGGTAGACATTGCAGTGGAATACCTTGCTGACATTTGGACCTAAGAACTTCCTTTTCTACTCCTGAGTACAGTGCTAAAACAGATGACCCCGCATTGACCAATGCGCTATGCTGTCCAATGATACTGCATTGGTCAGTTACATAGATAGTCAATTAACTATCTCCAGACACAAATAGTCAGTGAAATAGTAAAACCAATCTTTTTAAAATGTATGACTGGAAGTGAAACTACAAAGGTATATATTTGCATGAATTGGAAGAGAGAGTAAACATTTCAAAGGGTGTGTGATTTGATACCGAATCTAATTTCTATCCCCACAGTGGAAGTGTTATTTTCAGTATTTTCTGTTTATTCACATTTACTAATCCCAATGTATGTGAGAATTAACACTGACCCCAGGGTCTTGGATAACCTTGCTCAATAGCTATGCTGTTAGCTTTTTATTTTATCGGGAATTTTCTTAAATTTTGCATTAATACAAGGGCACAGTTGTTTTTGTTTTAATAGATAAAAGGCACTATTTAAGGGCTTTCTTCACTTTCGTCCCATATTGTTGGGGTTTCCTGCACGTAATTTTGAAGTAAAATTGATGAGAAAATATATTATAGTAGCCACAAATCTTTTCACATAGTTCGTTTCAACACTAAAATGACCCTTTCAGTGCCACGGGACTGTTTTCTTCAAATTTTGAAACTTGCAGGAGGTCGTAACACTCATTTTCTTCCTCTTAGCAGGCAGTCGCCAGCACCAGCTCATCAAGCGAGGTAAAGGGTTTTATTTTCACTCCAAGCTCCTGTACCTTGCGAGACATTTGTGAAAACCTGTAGAACTATACAAAATTACAACATAAGACCTCGTTGCCTGAGACTCTATGTGTGTGACACTATATTTTAGAATGCAGTTATCATCCTTAAAAAGGAGAAAGCAACTGCTGGCCAAAGATGAATTTAAAGAGTTATTTCTGGGCAAACAATCCTATCTGGCCGTGTGGGGGCTTCCCCTACTTGATTGTTTATCTTTATATTTAGTTTCTTTCTTCATCATCCTCAGACTTTTTTTTTTTTTTTTTTTTTGGTTTTTCGAGACAGGGTTTCTCTGTGGCTTTGGAGCCTGTCCTGGAACTAGCTCTGTAGACCAGGCTGGTCTCGAACTCACAGAGATCCGCCTGCCTCTGCCTCCCGAGTGCTGGGATTAAAGGCGTGCGCCACCATCGCCCGGCTATCCTCAGACTTTTTTAAATAGCACTTGAGGCTATGAAATGATCTCTTCCAAGTGAATGATGCATGTGCTTTATATTCTGTGTAGACGTGACTTGGATATGGATCACCCTGGCTCTGATAAAACAAGTCGTTTTCCTTCTATTCCTCTTGCTAACCTAAAGAGAGGACAGTAGATCAGAAGATGATGAAGCCGAAGCTTTGACTTTAAGAGTTAAATCTCCAGTTATTAAAATAAAATGTCGGAGAAGTAGGGTAGTTCTGTTAATTTTTAGTTGTGTTTATTTCCATTGGTCGCAACATTCTGAGTAATGTCCTAGTAAAGTTAGTAAGAAGAAAGGCAGCATAAATGCCCTGTGCAACCCAAATAGCAGCTCCATCTCGATACCCAGGAGTTTACGGCTCAAGAACAGTCTAGTGCAGCAACTTAGTAATACATCGTGTTTTGATTAGAATTCTTCACATGAGAATGTGTCATAACTATAAATCTGTGTTTTCATCATTTCATTAGGAAACTGTGAATGCTGTTTCCAATGTCAATGAGGTAAGGCATATTTGCTAAATTTAATTTGTTTACTATTATTAATAGTAAACAAAGTGTACAGGAAATTGAGAATATTCTTTCATTTTAAATAGGAACAGCTTAAGAGACAGATCAAATGCAACCAACAATGCCAGGTAATGTTTTATTCATTATAATGCTACTTTATATTCAATTATAAACATAATATAAATGAGTTTCATTCACACTTTTTTCTTAATAAGTCATTTATTCTAGCTTTGACATTAATAATAATTAGCAAATTATTGATCTGAATATCAGCATAAAATGTTTACTCCTTCTAATTTTTTGAACCAGAGTTAAAGTTTATTAACTCTCTGATATAAACATGATATTAAGAGACAGGGGAGAGAAACAGAGAATATTGTTATGTGCTGTACAGTGGATGTGAGCTTCTTAAGGTTGAGCTAAATTTAGATGTCATATACTTAATTTCTAACTAGGAAAAACTTTGCATAAGTGGAGTCAATGTCAAATATTACATATTACTCCAACACAAATGTATTTCAGTCAATATACTAAAAAAGAATTATTTTTTTCCTTAGCAAGCTACCATGGCTGAGGTGAGTTTTTTTTTTTACTAAATCTAAATTATTTTAATATTTCTCAAATACTATGACAATAAAAATTCCATGTCAATCAATATACTAAAATAGTTTTTTTTTTATCTTTAGCAGGCTACTCTGGCCCAGGTAAGATTCTTAAATTTAAAATAAATTATTTTAATATTTCTCAAATACTATATCAATGCAAATTTTATATCAATTGATATACTAAAAAGAAATTATTTTTCTTCTATAGCAAGCTTTCCTGGCCCAGGTAAGATTCTTAAATTAAAAATGAATTATTTTAATATTTCTCAAATACTATGCCAATGCAAATTCTATACCAGTTAATATACTAAAATGCAAATTATTTTTCCTTCTATAGCAAGCTTCCCTGGCCCAGGTAAGATTCTTAAATTAAAAATGAATTATTTTAATATTTCTCAAATACTATGTCAATGCAAATTCTATACCAGTTGATATAGTAAAATGCAAATTATTTTTCCTTCTATAGCAAGCTTCCCTAAAAAAAAAGTAAAAATGAATTATTTTAATATTTCTCAAATACTATGTCAATGCAAATTCTATACCAATTGATTTACTAAAAAGAAAATTATTTTTCTTCTATAGCAAGCTTCCCTTTCCCAGGTAAGATGTTTTTACTGAATCTAAATTAATTTTAATATTTATTAAATACTAAGCCAAAATGAATTCTGTCAAAAATTTGCTAAAAGGGAAATTATTTTTCTTCCATAGCAAGCTTCCCTGGCCCAGGTAAGATTCTTTTACTAAATCTAAATTATTCTAATATTTCTCAAATACTATGTCAATACAAATTCTATCTCAATCAATACACTAAAAGGAAAATTATTTTTCTTCCACAGCAAGCTTCCATGGTCCAGGTAAGTTTTTTTTTAATGAATCTAAATTAATGTTTCTTAAATATTATGCCAATAAAAATTCTACATAAGTCAACATACTAAAAGACTTATTTTTCTTCCACAGCAAGCTGCCCTGGCCCAGGTAAGATTTTTTTTACTAAATCTAGATTATTTTAATATTTCTTAAATTCTATACCAGTGCAAATTCTATGTTAGTATACTAAAGGAGAATTTTTTTTTCTTCCTTAGAGAGCTGCCCTGGCCCAGGTAAGAAAATAATAATAATAATTTTTTTTACTAAATCTAAATTATTTTAGTATTTCTCAAGTTGTAAGCCAATATAAATTCTATGCCGATCAATATACTAAAAAGCCTACTTTTCTTCTTTAGCTGGCTTCCCTGGCCCAGGTAAGACATTTTACTAAATCGAAATTATTTTAATGTTTCTCAAATACTATGCCAATACAAAGTCTATGCCAATCGATATACTAAAAGGAGATTTGTTTTTCTTCTTTAGCAAGCTTCCGAGGTACAGGTAAGATTATTTACCAAATTTTAAATTATTTTAATATTTCCATTATGTGTTGTGTGATAGTGATATCCGTATTGTTGCTCTGGTTTTCAAGTTGATTCTGTTTGGAACAAATCTACAAAAATTTAAATACCTTATTTTGCAAGTACAAATGTCAGCAATTCTCTCAGAAATTAACCGATTTTCTTAACTATGCATGTTAAACTTTACACATTTTAGAGGCATCTGGGTTTTGCATAGCTTTTCCATTATATTTCATAGTACTTATTGCAATCTCTATGAAAAAGAAGTGCATAGTAAGTGTTGACTATTCATAAATGAATAAAATCAGTAGACTGAAAGAGACAATTTGTTTTTCTTCTTTAGCAACCTGCCTTTGTTCAGGTGAGATATTTATTAAATTTCAAATATTTTAGTACTTATATTGTGGGTTACATTTTAAAACATACACTGTTTTGTTTTAAAACACAGAAACACCTTCCAAGACTGAGCCAGTTCTACTACTCAAGCATGGTAATATTTTACTTAACATTTACCAAAGAAAAAAATTAATAATGATTACAAATGGGTAGGAGAATAAAATATCATGTTAAGAAATTGATGGGTTTGGGGCTTGTATTTCTTTCAGTGAATAAAATTTATTTACTATTTATTTTTCTAAATTTCAGTAAATTTAGCCATACCTGAGATTTTTGATATACTCAAAATATGAAACTTTGGATTTTTTCAGTAATTTACATAGAATCTGTATCACGGTGTGTTGTAAATTTCATGGATACTGATATAATCTCCACTCACTGTAGTTAGCACAGAGGTGTGAAGTCAGATGTCTGAGTAATCCAAAATACGTTTCCTTCTGTACAGGAGCAGCCTTACAGAATGAGCGCATACAACCAAGTCCAAATGGTAATATTGATCTGTATGATGAAATTAATACATTACTAAGATTTGCTTTAAAACTTCCAGTCAGATAGATTCCTCTTTCTCTTTCTCCTGTTCCTAAAAGAGTTTTTATTGCCTAACTCATTCACCATCCTTTGTGTGGTGCCTGCTCCTGGTCCACCTAGTGCATAACTCAGCTCCTGTGGGCAGCGCAGCTATAATCACAAGCATTACAAAGGGATACTTTCTACAGTTACATTTATTCATGTCAACACCTCTTTTATTGTCACGTAACTATATGTGTAAATTTCGGATTGTCAAACTGAGTGTAGTTTAGGACTCCCCAGTTCGGTTTTAGTCATGTTTCCTTAATCGGGGCATGTTGAAGTTTGACTAGATTTACTGACTGACACACTTCTTTGAAGAGACTATCTAGGCAGATTCTAGACTTCAGAGTCCAAGGGGATTGTATCAAAATCCTTCCGCTTTCTATTTTGTCATCTATGGGGTGAATTTTTCAGTCGTACAGATGCTGTCTGACCCACTCTGTATACCGCTGGTTCCACTGTGTCTCTGGGATTTAAGATAGAAGTCAGTTACTACGAAACAGCTGTTCCCTAGCAATTCTGACTCAGGAGATGCCTCGAGCCATTGCATACCAGGCATGAAGATTTCGAACAGGACTTACTATTTAATGAATCAGTGATTGTTGGGGGTGCCTCTATATCTTAAAGGGAAAGAGGTCAGTGAGTAATTAAATAGCAGTTGACAAAATCAGTGACAGCTCCCATGTCATTAACAAGAAAGGTTTCAAACAGGCTGCTTCTTCTGTGTTAATAGAGCCTAAAAGTAATTTCTATTTCCTTTTCTCTTTGCAGAGACAGCCTATGAGTGTAGTGGATCAGGTAAAAAAAAAATCTGTGTGTGAGCATGCACACGTACACATGTTCATGCGTGTTTGTGTGACATTTGTGTGTGCATGTACAATGTTGCTATCTATCTATATAAGTTGTGTACGATGCTGATGTGTGTGTGTGTGTGTGTGTGTGTGTGTTGTGTCAATAAGTAGCATTGATTGCGCCAATATTTCTTAGATGCTGGCTACTCTTGGACTCTCTAGTGATAGTTCCGGCCTCGCTGTGGAATTTCAGATAACTTGCCAAAGGAAAATGAAAGACTAATTCTTTAGACACCTCTGAAGGAAAATAGTTTCAGTCCAACCTTTAAATCAGAAAAACCCTACTTGGTACCCTGTTTCCAAACATGGTTATGCAATAGAAACAATTTAAGTTCTCAATCTGAATACATATTGTGTCTCACTTTGGAGAAATTAATAAGACTATCAATTTTTCATCTCTTCCGATTCCCACATCCTCTTATTTCTAGTGTCTATTTAATTCTTTATTTTTAAAAGAAGTCACTTTGTGTTCAATTTGGAGACTATTGATCCTTGACAGTCCCACTTGCATGTATCACATAGAAAGTTCTATTATTATAAAGAAACGTAAGAAAGTGATGGAATTTTCTTTCTATGAATATGATTATGGCTAAATATTGCCTCCTAATGTTTTAGATATTAAATCAGTTATTGATTTTGAGATGATTTGTCAGTGTGTTCCAAGTTATCTTCTTTGAGTTCTTGAGTTCTGTAGTCATTTTCACTGCTCAAAGTAAAAGCAAATTCAAGGCAATGATTCATTTTATTTAAAATGTGATGAAAATATTGGCTTCAACCTTTTCTTTTATAGACAGTTTGAAAATGTACATATAGATTTTCTTCTTTTCAAATTTAGTACAATAATTTAGTCTTTATTGGTGACTATATGTAACTTATGAAGACTGTTTTTTTCTCTCTCCCCACCAAGGAACTGGCCCAATTCTTTGCTCAGGTCAGTTGGTTTGATTATTTCATTGTATTTTATATATCAATAAAAAATAGAAATTTTTATATATAATACTTGTGTTATTATTTATAAAAGTGTTCACAGAAAAAATTTTAAATTTTTAATTTAAAAACCTGTTTTTAATTTTAATTATGGTCCCATAAAATATAAATTCTACTTAGAGAGTTTTGGATGTATTAGATAGAAATTTCTAAATTTCTGACTAAAATTATGTAATAGATCAATAGAAGCAGCTGTTCTAATATTTCAGAAAAGAACACAGGGTTTTTTTTTTGTCCCCAGACTGGTTTCTTGGAGAGGCCCTGAGCTAGCATTTAGAGAATTATTTTCTATATATGAGACATTTAAGGATCAGCTATATTGACCCTGGATATAGGACCCTTCTTTGGACATTAAAGTCCTTAAGGAAAGTTAAGTAGGTTTAAATTAGCAAAGCTATTTTTTTGTAGTGAAAATATCAATGAGTTGTATTTGAGCACTAATGGAGACTCATGTTCTTATATCTTCTGGTCTGGTAATTGGACCTATATGGATAATGCTGGGCCTAGGGATTCAGTTTGGAAATGCACTTCTTAAGAAGTGAGAATGATGCCCAGCCCTATATGGACTCAAACAGCCATTGCTCACACATTTTTGTTTTGTCTTTTTCTGCAGGTCTTTCCACAATTCTACCAGCAGTATGAGACCTATCCCTTTTGGCCTTTTATTCCACAAGACGTACAGCACATTACTCCCGAATCTGTTCTTAACACTGCCAAGCCCATTGCCCCCAAGACTGCTGGAGAAACCAAAGCGTGGTGGTAAGTATATGAAAATTATGAAATGTTGATGCTATGCCAAAGGATACATAATAAGAAAATATTTAGGATAAAAATGACCAATTAGAATCTTTCTGGTATCTAAGACTCAAAGTGACCTCTCAGTCACAAGAAGAGCAGAATTCTCTATTCAAGAAGTTGAGCCCTCTTTAATGATGGAAGCAGAAGATTGCTGATGCACAGTAAACATTATCCTTCTTCAGTTTTCACTAATCTCTAAGCACTTTCTCTCATACACACACACACACACACACACACACACACACACACACATAATCAATTGAAAAGGTATGTTAAAAAACCCACATGAATTCATCCTGAATTCAACTCCTGGCCTTTTCTTCCTTTGAAATACTATGGAAATGCTTTTCCTTATCTTTAAGGTGACCTTTATCCTTATGGTGATCCTTAAAGTAATCTTTGTTAAGCATAGTACGATGAAAACAAGGACTTAATAAGTAACCATCATCTTTCTCATTAAAATTTTACTACTGAATAAATTCATCCACTGATGTGAATGAATTTTGTTTTTTCAGAGACATTAATTCAACCCTCAGAAACTCCACAATTACAATACTCGGTGAGTTTATAGTCTTTGTGTCTAATGCTCAGCCCTACTCCATTTGAAATTCGAATTTTCATAATTATGTACTTAAATAGTATTAGTACTTAAATGATTTAATGGAAAATAATGTTTTACTAGTAAAACTTGTAATAATGGAATAGCCTATGCAAGTATGTGTGAATGTTACTACTTCTTTGTGGAATAGTGCCTCTGAGACAAAGATCCTATGTTTTATGATGCTAAAGTAGGAATCAGTAGCAAGTCACACAGTAAAACTAAACATGTATTTTAATCATCTCAGCCACTCTAAGTGTGTGTGTACTTGTGTGTGGTGTGAGTTGTTCCTTACATTCCCCCCCCCAATGAAAGCAATAATCTTCTGACTTACGTGGCAGTCATTTTGTGTGTGTGTGTGTGTGTGTGTGTGTGTGTGTGTGTGTGTGTTTGCCTGGTGGCATCTGTAATAATAACACAAAAAGTTACACCTTAGTAAAAAATTATCTTTAAATCAATACAAATCAGAAGCAGGTGTGCGTTTGTGTGTGTGTGTGTGTGTGTGTGTGTGTGTGTATCAGTAGTAGAGAAATAAAAATGATCCCATGAGCTAGGTTGATGTAAAAAAATGAGTAACAAAGTATATCAAATCATAACAACTTCCCCTCAAAATGACATAATATAGCTAACCATGCATTTCCACCTCTACTTACAGATGTGACTGGAACCTCTTCACTTCTCCTCTCCATTCATCATATGGATTCATCATCTTATCCAAGGCTTAATTGCTGTTGTAGAATAGGAAACCACCGTAGAAAGGACAATCACTCTCTTGGGTTGTCTACTGCATATAAGATAGCATAGCATCCTTCCTTAAGCTTACCTTTCCTAGGAAGAGTCTGTCTAAATTCCAGTTGCATCATGTCAGTAGGGAAAACACCAAGCGGAAAGAATTGAAGTCTTTAAGTAAGTTTCTATAATGGAAATTTTGTTTTAAAAGACTTTGAAATGATTCTTCTGTAAATACTATTATTTGGTGTAATTGTGTGCAGTAACTGAGATTTTCTTTCTCCTCTTTCCAATAAACTGCATTTTAAGGCACAAGTCATGTATTCCTGTCATTATCGGATATTTACATAACTGTGTGGAGTGTTTGTGTGAAACTGTGTTTGAGCTAACTTTATGCAATTTTAATGAAAATTTTAGATATCTTTATTTCTAACTGGAGCTGAAAGTCAAAAGATACTTGTAAGCTACCTAAAGTACCTTTGATTAAAGGTTGCTTTTTTATAGACTATCTGCCGTCTGATGATAATGCATCAGTAAGTGAGTGACGGGGACACTGGGAGTTTGAATCTAGTTGTGCTTTACTTTTTGCCATGTGAATATGATTGAGGCAAAGTAAAGAATATATGTGAGAAACTAAACATTAACCCTACAAAAGCAAACATATCAGTTTAATTTTTTACTTCTTTTTTTAATTTATTTTCCCATTCAAAAAATTTACAGTTCCTCCCCTCCTCCCATTCCCCTCCTGCTCTCCCACTCACCCTCCTTTCTCCCCCTCCCTCCTTAAGAGAGGGCAGGGAACCCTGCCCTGTGGGAAGATGGGGGTGGGGGTAGGGGTAGGAAAGGGAGACGGGGAGAGAGAAGGGAAAAGGGAAAGACTGGAGAGTGCTTGGGGGAGTGGGAAGGTGGAGATGGAGGAAGGATAGATATAGGAGCAGGGAAGAAGATATCTACATTAAGGGAGTCATTTTAGGGTTGGCAAGAGACTTGGCTCCTGAGGGGATCCAAGGTATCTAAGGGGATGTCTCCAGCTAGGTCCTTGGGCAGCAGAGTAGAGGGTACCTGAACTGGCCTTGCCCCACTATCACACTGATGATTATCTCGAATATCACCAAACATATCAGTTTAATCCAAGATTATTAATAGAAAAAACAGTTGTATTTGCTGCAGTCTAAACTGCAGTGCCAAACTAGGTTCAATCTGTCCTTGAGACAGTTGAGTGAAGTAAAGTCTTCTTTTTCTGTAAGATAAAACAAATTGCTTCTTTTTCCTTACTTTTTAAAACAGCTTGAAGATTATGAATTTACAAGATTGCTTTGTGTAAGACAAATACAAGGAACATTAAATTTTTCACACTTAAAATATCCGACATCTCTAATAAATAGCTTTCATTGCCTCCTTAACTTTTCAAATCCTCATTGTCCTCCAAAAAACCGCAGGAAGTAGAATCTCATTATTATTTTATGACTCATTAATATTCCCCTTTTCAGTCATTCACAGTCTCTGTAGTGTGCCTAGAAGTGAAGGACACTGATAATTTACAATTTAACTATAAGAGACATGATTTCAAGTGCACCTTTTCTACCTCTTTACTCTATACATCACGGTGAATAAAGCAGTCTTTTATAGCCATTCAGACCATACACTGCAACTTAGTAGCCTGGGAATTACCCAGGAATGGTTTTGTTCTTCCTAGAATTAGTGGAAACAAAATCACATGCAACTTCATCTATTACTTGACTCTACCAAGAAACGGTATCACAAACCACAGCTCTTCAGAGTTTTCTCCACACTTAAGTAGAAATGGGGAAAAGCATAAATCTCAGACTCTGTAAAATGATAAAATATTTCTTTTTCCAGGTGAATACCACAAAACTCAAAAGTAGACAGCAAGCATTAAACTGAGAAATATGATCTAATTTCAGGATCATTCCTATAAGACTTGATTTCTCTACATTAAAGGGATATACACATATAATTGATTCTTATTTGGAATCTGATGTTGGGAAGTCTTGTGAGTCTTCTAATGATAGTTTCAGCTAGAATATGCTCACAATTCATGAGATTCCTATAATATGTGAGTTTCCTGGTTTTTCTGCTATTCAAAGCTTTATGGAAAAACAATCGACTTTTACACCATTCTTATGCAATGCTTGTATTGATAAAAATAGACAGAGAAGGATTTTCCAGCACAATCCATTTGATCATTGATATCCTACTCTCCTCAATGTCACCTAAGACCTGGAAAGTTTGCAAATTTGGGTGACATTGCATCAACTATCTATGACCTTAATGAAGCACTAATCTCAAAAAGTTCTATGCATCAAGTGTGGATTTTCAATCAGTTCTAAAAGCAATAAACATGTGATTCACAGAGCAAAGGACAAAAGATAGACAAAGCACTGAAGAATAAATAAAGTTTTTATGTATTTTATTAAGGTGATAATATATTCCACTTATGGGTTGCATAGTCTCTTCTTTCTTCTATTTAAGCTGTAGCCATAGAATACTATTTACCTAAAATACAATCATGTTATTTTTAGGTGATAGGCTCATTCATCTCAATTACAGTAAAACATTGCATTCCATTGTATTAAATTTATCCAAAATAGTATTAAATCATACTTTTGTGGATTTTTAGATTGAGGGATCAAAATATATTGCTGATATCATTGGTACATGATTCAGATTAGCATTTATCTTGGCAATTGACAATTATTCTTTGTTTTATCATATAATATACAGGCTTCTGAAACATCTAAGTCCATCTATGTACTTACTTGGAAAACCAAGTTTTAGCAAAGAGCTTTTGTAAGTTGATCTAATAGCACCCCTGTTAGTACTTGATTATTCTCATTATCTGATCTAATTACTTGTCTCATTATTTTAAATACTATCTGGTTATTCTGTCTTGTCCTCAGTATCACATGAGTTTGATTCTACCAGAGTCCTTGAACTCCTGATGCTTTTTCTTAGTAAGTTGGTATGCACTCCTTCCCCTCCCGATTTCTTTTTTGTGGACAGACCTACATTTACTGAAGTCAGAATTCTATCTTTGCAAAGTCTTATTGCTGTTGTTATTGTGTGTGTGTGTGAGAGAGAGAGAGACAGAGACAGAGACAGAGAGACAGAGAGAGGAGAGATGCTGAACAAACTCTTCCTTATTCTGGTTTAACAATTATTGAATATGTTTTTAACACAACATGCTTATTAATGGGACCATTATTCATTGACCAATAATCAAAGTACACTATGATCATTTTTAGCAAATATTAATAGAAATTTTGTATGTGCTTTGCCAATCTTCATTTAAGTCAGCATTGAGAAGCATTCTTTTACCTCTATTCATTTTGTTGTTGTTGCTTTATTTTGTTCTGATTTTATACTGTATTTATGGACTTTGATTCTTTTCATTTTCGCCCCCTAACTATTATATATTGTTTTCAATTTGCATTTTCACTGAGAAATAGAGATGTGAACACCTTCCAAATTTCATTGTTCATCCAAATTTCTTTCTTGTTCTGTCTATTCAAGTATCTAAGGCTTGAATAGAATAAATTATTTTAGGAAACTCTAAGAAAGATCATATGTCTTAGGGTTTTTATTGCTATGAAAAGACACCATGATTGCGGCAACTC